TGACTGACAGCAATCCCACATACAACAGAACGAAACCTTGTGTCATCCTCACAACTGCTGGCTCTGCCTGAGCCCGTCATCGCAGCCACTGTGTCAATCCATCTTGTTTCTTGTTGAGGGTCCTTTCTTGCTGACCCTCCACTTTACTTTTTAGCTTTACCCTCCATCATGGAGAAGAAGCATGATGTTCTTCTCCAGGGACTGGTTCCTTGTGAGAACATGACCAAAGTATGAGACATGAAGGCTGGCCATTCTCACTTCCAAGAAGCATTCTGGCTAGACTTCTTCCAAGACAGCTTTCTTCATTCTTCTGGCAGCCCATGGTCTATTCAACATGCTTCCCTAACCCTGTGATTCTCATGCATCCACCCTGCTGCCGTCCTCCTTACTCACTGTCCAGCTCTTGTATGCATATGAAGCAACTGCAAATAATCATGCCTTAGGGCGGGTTCACCTCAGGCCTCAAAGTGACCCCTTTGCTTTTCAACACTTTCAAGAGATCTTTGGCGGCAGATTTGCCCAGTGCACAAGTTGTTTGATTTCTTGACTGCCGCTTCCATGGGTGTTGATTGTGGATCCACATGAAATGAAATCCTTAGCAACTTCAATCTTTCCTCTGTTTATCATGATGCTGCTTATTGGGCCAGTTGTGAGGATTTTTGTTCACCCACACTGAAGGCTGTAGTCTTTGATCTTCATCAGCAAGTACTTCAAATCTTTTTTGCTTTCAGCAAGCAAGTCTGTGTCATCTGCATAGCACAGGCTGTTAATGAGTTTTCCTCCAATCCTGATGCTGCCTTCTTCTTCATTCAGTCCAGCCTCTGGGATATACTGGTCCAGATAATTCTATGTGGTGGAGGACACCTGTGCACTGTAGGATGTTCAGAAGGAGCCCTGGTCTCTACCTTCTAGATGTCAGTGACACCAGGAGTCAAGACAACCAAAAATGTCTCCAGACATTGACAAAGTCCCCTGGGGGAAATGAAACCAGGTGAGAATCACTGCTTTAGATCATCAAATGCCCCAGGGCAGGTACGGAAGATATACAAGGATGTTATGGGGCAGGGTTGCTAAGATACGTTCAATAGGGTGTTTTTGAAAACCCTCGGGAGCAATCCTACTCTGAGCACATGGGGCCACCATGTGCTGGAATCGACTGATGAGTTGGAATTGACTGGATGGCAAGCAACAACCACAAGGATGGGGTTGAGTTCTTCTATTCCCACAAGGAGTTTAGAAGCAGATTTCTGTTTTCTCTCCTCTGCTCCCTCTTGGATAACAAAGGCATCTTCTAGCTGAGCTAGTTCTGAGATGATGGATGACAGGGTTACACGGGCCTTAGATCTCAGCACAGAGACGGCATCAACGTGGGACTTCATTCCACAAGCATTCCCAGCATGCACCCAGGGGACAGGGAACAGAAGGAGGTCTTCCATATTGAGATATATGTTCTCCTGAGGACACAGCATAAGCTGTGGGTCTACCTGGTAGCAACACAGTTAAGAGCTTGGCTACTAACTGAAAGGTCAGCAGTTCAAACCCGCCAGCCACTGTGCAGAAGGAAAGACCAGGCAACCTGCTCCTTTAAAGATCACAGCCTAGGAGACCCTACAGGTCACATGAGGTCACTATGAGTCACAATGGAGATGATGACAAACAACAGCCCCTGCCTGAGGAGAAGGCCATTTCCTTCTTCAACTGAAATGCCCAAGAAAAACAGACCCACCTCCCTCAGCCCCAGATGGAGGTGGACTGGAGGGTCCAGCAGTAACACTGCCCTCGATGCGTTTCCCTCCTTGCTTCTGGTCTTTCCCCTCAGGTTGCCTCTCCCCAGTTAAACGGAAAACACTGCACAGATACTACCAAAGTGAACAGCAGTGATGATTTCAGTCCCTGGCGTGTGAGAGAAAACAGAGGTGGTCAATGAGATGACCTGAGCCTTGTCCAGCTACTTGAGGCTGTGCTCAGTTGTGTTGCCAGGGTGAGAACTCAGATCAATGGGTAGAAGAAACAGAGTGAGACTGTTGCGGGCTTTATATAAGAAAAGCCCTGGAAGTTAATGTTACCAAGTATTCTGTGACTGGAGCGAAAAAAGAACATTTTGATGGAGTCATGAGGTGCCATTGAGTGGGTTCCGACTCATAGCGACCCAAGTACAACAGAACGAAACATGCCTCACAATCCTTGCTATGCCTCAGCCCATTACTGCAGCCACTGTGTTGGTCCACCTCATTGAGGATCTTCCTGTTTTTCACTGACCCTCCACTTTACCAAGCACGATGTCCTTCTGTGTGACTGGAGTCGAAGATTTTGAAGGTCCCCTTCATCTCTCACATTTTAGGAGTCTATGGTCCTGAATGCATATGAAACGTGGCAGAGGAAATGGATGGACTTCCGTACATCTTACAACTACCTGTCCATGTGGTGGGGGATCGGCAGTGGCAAACACCCCCATGATCTCTAGATTGTACTTGGTACACACTCATGTTTTTCATCCTCACGGCAACCCTGTAAGGTCGGGGCTATCACTGAAACTATTTTTCAGACCAAGAATTAAGGCCAAGGAATGTTAACCACTTAGCCAGCAACACAGCCAGGACCAGAACCCAGGAAGCACCACTGTAGAATATCTGCTGTTAACCCCAGTACCAGCCAGACTCAGAGCATGGGACCCTGAGACCCCTGAGAGCCTTCAGCAGGTTCAGGACATGGAAGTTCTACTCATAACGACATCAAGGGGCTCTTTGTCTTCTTCACCTTCACGCTTTCAAGAGCGTACAGTGGACTCTACCGGAAGCTTATGACATGTGAGGACATCATCACTTTGGTGGCCCATGGGATGGGTTTGAGGCTCTTGCATTTTTTTAAAATTCAATCTTAATGTCTAATCTGAGAAACACAGATAGATATAACCCACATAAACCAAAGATCTTCGGGGTCTTTGGTAATTGAAGAGTGTCAAGGGGTCTTAAGACCATAAAGTTTGAGGACTGCTGCACACTCTACAATGCCGCCTCTTTGGTGCGTGTGTTGGGGTGTTATTAGGCACCATCGAGTAGACTCCAACTCACAGCAACTCTATTTATGACAGAACAAAACGTCACCTGGTCCTGCACCATCCTCACAGTCCTTGCTCTGGTTGGGCCCATTGTTGCAGCCACTACACCAATCCATCTCCTTGAGGGTCTTCCTCTTTTTCACTGACTCTCTACCAAGTATGATGTCCCTCTCCAGGGACTGGTCCCTCCTGGTAACATGTCCAAAGTAAGGGAGACTTTATCTAGTGTTGCTGTAGGGGAGGCATATATCAAAGGCACAAATTGGAAGACCCAAAGCAGACATGTGAAAACAACCAGGAAAACACGGTGTACAGACAAGCAAACAATGCAACACACGCTTGAAAACAACGCGAGGTGAGAACACTCACTAGCGCACTAGGCTGTCGCTCTGTTTGCTCCATCCTTTCCTCTGCGTTCTGCTGGTAGCTGAACTAAACAAGATTTGCAGCTGCCTCCCCAGCATTCGCCTGGCCTGCCACCAAACTAATGCAAATAATTAATCAGTGCGCTTCCTTTAAAACTCTTCGGATGGGTAATAACACTTAAGAAAAAAACCATTGGCAATGTCACATGCAGTTGTATTTAAATTTAAGGGGAAGACTTTTCACTTAGAACTTGCTAAATGAAGACACACTGGGAAACAAAGCCGTCCTCAACTGTAGAACCAGATGCATTTCTCGCTGCTACAGCAAAGAGCTGCTACATGGGGCCTGGATGGAAAGGTACGCAACCCAGGAGGACAGGTGACCAGCTGACTGACAGGGAGCCAATGATCAGGACAAGTAGGACAGACAAGCTGAGCAGAAGGTCAAGCGAACGCCATCCAGTCCACACTGCTGGGCACAGAAAATGTTCAGTATCTGGGAGTTTATACTGCACAGGGAGAAAGGAATCGAGAGGGGTCTTTAAGTTGGCTAACCCACTAGCAGTGGTCCCTTGATGGTGCAAAATGGTTAACATGATCCCAAGGTTGGAGGTCTGAGTTCACCTAGAGGTGCCTTGGTGTGCTGTTAAGGTTGTGTGTCAACATGGCTGGGCTGTGGTTTTAAGTAGCTGGGCAACTGGATGTAGTTATTGCCCATAATGATATTGTAATCAACTCCACAGCAGAATCTGCTGTGAGTAGCTAATGAGCTGCCTTTGAGGGTATGACCTGCTTCAAGTATAGAAGGAGAAGCTTTGAGAAAGGTCTCTAGCTTTTTGGCACATACGGATCTTGCATTTGGCTGAGTCTTCATCTCAGTAGCCTGTCGGGTTGTCTGCTGATCTTGGGACTGGGCCATTTTACCTGCCAACCTTAAGTTCGTCAGCCTCAGCAGCCAGCAGCTGCCTCAGTTAGGAGAGGCCTGCAGCTCCAGTGGGTCTCGAATAAGGGACAGAGCTGAAGCCCAAAGTCTAGGGGCATTCATCCAGCCCCTAGAGCCAGCACTCTGAATTTGGACTTCTAGCCTCATAAACTCTAAGAGAATAAATTCCCGTTTGTTAAAGCCACCCACTTGGGGCATTTCTGTCATAGCAGCAATGGAGAAACAAGACACTCAGAAAAAAGGCCTGGCCATCTGCTTCCCAGAAATAAGCAGTATAAACCCTATGGCTCACAGGTCTTCTCTGACACATGGGTTCTCCATGAGTCGAGATCCGCTTGTCAGCAGCTAACATGAACAATGTGCAGTCCCTGAGTGGGGCAAATGCTTAGGGAGCTTAGATGCTAGTGGAAAGGCTGGAGGGTTGAGTTAACGCCGAGGCACCTTGGAAGAAAGGCCTGATGATCTCCTTCCAGAAAATTCAACCCTCTGGAGCACAATTCTACTCTGACACACACAGTGATAGTCAATTCCATGGTCACTGGTCTTTAACCCACTTGTCAGTTCCATAACTGGACACAGATAACAGCATGCCATCCCACAGCCCAACAGAACAGACTCCCTTGGCTCCCAGTACCTGTCCTCAGGCAGTGGTGAGCCAGCAAGCTTGACCACTGTGGGGAAGACGTCCATGTTGCTCGTTGGCTCGTCGATCTCCTGCCCGGCCTGTATGATGCCCGGCCACCGGAGGATGCCTGGGACCCGGATACCACCCTCCCAGTTGTTTGCTTTTCCTCCTAAAAGGTCAGAGAAGGAACAGGGAGATTTGAGTCTTCCTCAGGGATCACCTCATTATCTAAGGTGGGGCAGTGGAGGTGATGGCACCACGCACTCTCATGACATCGATTCAATGAGTTTATCCTCGTGCTAATAAAACAGAACGCCATGGAGATGGTTAACACCACTGAACAGTCTCACCAGGGACACAATTGATGGATCCCAAAACCATGGCAGCAAAATGGGGAGCAGAACCTCAAATCCTGGAAAAAAAAATCAGACCTACTGGGCTGGTTGAGACTGGAGGACTCCCCAAGATGATCACCCTGAGATACTCTTCAAATCTTGAGCCAGAACCAACCCATGATGTCACCTTATAGCTAATAACCAATTGGCTCAAAACAAAAACAAAAACGTATCACCTGTAAGTATTGCACTTTTTTTCTTTAAACATATCTATATGAGACCAAATGGTCAGCAATGATTTTAAAACAAGGATGAAAAAGCAAGGGGTCAGGGAAGCTAGATGAATGGAAACAAGACAACCAGAATGGAAATAATGAGGATGTTCATGCATTGTGAAGAATGGAACCAATGTCACTGGAAGTTGTGTAGCAATGGTCAAACTGCTGTCTAACCCTTCAAGAAGACACAACACAGTATCATAAAACAAAGAAACAAACATAACACCATAAACTCACTGCCACTGAATCAGATCTGACTTACAGCGACCCGAGGTGGTATCACTACGGAAGTAGATTGCCCAACCTTCCTTCCGAGGAGTGGCTGGTGGGTTTGAACTGCCAGCCTTCTGGTTAGCGGTCAAGTGCCTTAGGGATTACACCACCACAGCTCCCTCATAACACCATAGACAATGGCGTTTGGGTGAAGAAAGTCACTGACACAGCATGGTCACTACTATGCAGGGATATGGAAGCAAGTTTTCATTTCTTTGAGATAATTTCTGAAAGCCGTGGCTTGTGGACAGAGTGTGTTTGACAGGCGAGATCTGTGCAGCGGATGCACTCCTCTGTTGTCTGTGCACAGTCACTGACCAAGAGTCCACGTCGGAACTCACACAAGAGTTTATAGGTTCTCGAGTGCCTGTCTGTAAAACCTCGACACCCTTCTCCTTCCTTTGCCTTTTCAACATCACCTTGAAAAGCTTATCTGACAAATACTATGATTCTTGCTTCACAGACATGGCACCCAAGAAATGGAAAGCTTCAATAATCTGCCAAAACGTGTGCAAGCTGCGAAAGGAAGCTCTGCATGTGACACCGAGATGCGCGTGGGCATCCCTGTGGCTTGAGCTCACAACACTGCCTGAAATGCAACAGCAACCCTGAAACAATGCCCAGCCCACCAACAAGCCTGCTCACCCAAAGGCTGGAGGGCCGCTCCACCCAGAGGGCCTTAGAAGAAAGGCCTGGTGACCGACTTCCACAAAACCAGCCACTGAAAACCCTACAGGGCACAGTGCTACTCTGGGGGTACGGGAAGCACTGTGAGGCAGACGCTCCTTGGTTAAAACACAGCCGAGGAAATACATGGGAAGGCAGACCAAACTAATAAAATCATATTGGAAAGGCCTCCTCAAACATCCGTCTTCTAGGGGCAAGGAGGCATTGTAGACAGATTGGTACTGGACCAGACCCAGGGCATTCCTGGGAGAACCAGTGAAGCTGAAGACTGTCTGTGGTTCACTTAGTGACATGCCAAGAGGAACAGCTTCGTTTTGACAAATACATGATGGTTATGGACGATGTGAGCGCTAGGGAAGCAGGGTGCATGTATATAGGGACCCTTGTATTAACCTTTGCAGTTCTTCTGTCAGTCTCAACTGACTCCAAAATGAAAAGTGTGTGTGTGTGTTTAAAAACCAATTCAGTTCTAAAGTTTAAATGGCATGTGTGTCTATATATATAAAAGTCACGTCTATGAATGTTGTTGTTGTTATGTGCTGTTGAGTCGGACCCGACTCATAGCGACCCCTCCTTGGGTTTCTGAGGCAGTATCACTATGGAAGTAGATTGCCACATCTTCCTTCTGAGGAGTGGCTGGTGGGTTTGAACCTCCAGCCTTCTGGTTAGCAGTCAAGTGCCTTAGGTACTACGCTAACCATATTATTTTTGAATATTACACATAATGTATATGAGCACAATACATAAGAATATATTACAGACATATGACTATTTTATATATGTACATCTCTCCAGGAGCTCTAGTGGCACAATGGTTAAGCACTCGCCTGCTAACTGAGAGGTGGGTGGTAGGAACTCTTCACACTCATCATACGTACTAACTCCTTCGATCTTCAGGATCAATGTGTGAGGTAGGGACCTGACTTCACACTTGAAAAATCCTTGGTCAAGGTTATGCAGCAAGGGAGTGAGGGAAGCAGGGTGAGTTCCTGCTACTACAGACAAGACTTCACTGATTCTCAGAACCGCTTGGTTGCTGTCATTGCCCCTGCTGTGGCTCTGACTCGTGGTGACCCACGTACAACAGAATAAACGTTGGCCGGTCCTGCGCCAGCTTCCGGATTGTTGGTATGCTGCACTCCACTGGTGTGACCACTGTGTCCTGCGAGTGCCTTCCAACCTAGGGCTCTCAGCTTTCTGCATCTGCACTGTATCAAGCAACACTCAGTGACAGCCCTTAGGGTTTCCCCTGGCTGATCATCAGAAGTGGATGGCCAGGCCTTTCTTCCCAGTGTGTCTCAGTCTGGAAGCTCTGATAAAACCTGTCCCCAAGGGTGACCCTGCTGGTGTCTGAAATACCAGTGCCATAGCTTCCAGCACCACAACCAGGCACCACGGTGGGACCAACAGGCAGGTGGGTGGTGGCAGAACCACAGAGTGGACACACAGATCGGTGACTGGTCACCTCGACCCAGTGGAAACTCAAGTCTCAGAAGATGGCGCAAATAGATTGTTCTGGGCACCATTCAAAAACACAGAACATCTTATGACCTGGGACACTGCCCCAAGCCAGGGGACTGATAGACTTTCCGTTGGGTTGCCCAATACAGTTGAGAGAGATATGGGAGGATTAAAAAAAAAAAAAAAAAAAAGACACTTTAAAGAACCTTTTCTTTTCTGCCCCCCCTGGAGATTTATGAGCAGAGAAAAAAAGGCATGCTATAAATTTAAGACTTGGTTGAGTGACTGTCAGATTCACTGTCGTAACACCTTGATGACCCATTGCGTGATGGGAAGTCACTGAAGAGTGATGGCCGAGTGACTCCGTCTCTCCAGGCAAGAGCAGAACCTGCCACAATTTACCCGCAGACTCCAGTCAGGAACAGCTGTTTCCAGCAGGACTTCTGTTTGCATCCTTTTGAAAGCTGCCACACAGCAGGTCAGATGACTTTTCATGGCAAGAGCATGTGGCATTCATTCTTGGGTTTGACATGGGCATGGCATTTTATAAAATATCCCATCTTTCATTTTTCTCCTCTTGGGTCGCTCCTCACCACGGATGACACGGAGATTCCTGAAACTGCTTCCAACCACATGGAAGCCTGTGATGAGTACAATTCACTCTGATTGGCTTCTCATCCAAGTCATATTTCCCCTTCTCTTTGATTTAGGGACTCCAACATGCGAGTGACTCATGGCAGATGTAATCGTATCATCAGGGTTTTCTCAACCTACTGTCAGCCTAGTCTTAGGGCGAGAAGGAGAACAAGGACCTGCTGATGTTGGCATTCAAATAAGGGGTCAAGAATTGAAAAGCTCCCTTAAAATTAACTGACAAAGTTGGAACGATGATGGGTGACTAAGTCTGCAATTTGCTGCAGGAGACTCTTTATAGTGTCCAAAAGCAAAGATGTCACTTTGAAGACAAGGTCCACGTGACCCAAGCTACTGTCTTTTCTGTTGCCTCACATGCATGCAAGAGCTGGGCAATGAATAAGGAGGAGCACAGAAGAACTGATGGAACTGAATTGCGGGATGGTGATTAATCCTGACTCTAGTGTGGACTGCAGAAGAACGAACACATCAGCCTTGAGGAAGTCAAGCCACAAAGCTCCTTAGAAGGGAGGCTGGTCAGACTTCAGCTGGCTGACTTTGGACACGTCATCAGGAAAGACCAGTCACTGAAGAAGGACATCGTGTGCAGTAAGTAAAACCGAGGGAAACTCTCGATGAGACAGCGGACACAGCAGCCACGACACTGGACTGAAACATACCAAGAGTAGCAACACAGCACAGGACTGGCTAAGTTTTGTCCTGTGATTCACGGGGTCGTCATGAGTCAGAGCTCTTAACCAACACATCAAACTACTAAAGAATTTAAGTTGTTGTTGTTGTTCTGTGCCAGCGAGTTGGACCCGACTCACAGTGACCCCTCCTTGGGTTTTTGAGGCGGTATCTGTACGGAAGTAGATTGGCCAACCTTCCTTCCGAGGAGTGGCTGGTGGGTTTGAACCGCCAGCCTTCTGGTTAGTGGTCAAGTGCCTAAGGCACTACGCTACCAGAGCTCCTGTAATTTAAGTTAGGGATCAGCAAAAGTTTTCCTCCAATGGTCCAGGTAGTAAATATTTCAGGTTTTGCAGATTGGAGGGTGTCTAGTGCAATAACTCAACTCTGCCATTGTGTCACGGAAGTTGCCATAGACAACATGTAAATGAATGAACATGTCTGTGTTTCAATAAAACTTTATTTACAAAAACATCTGTCAGGCTAGATTTGGCCTGCAGCCATAGTTTGCCAACCCTGCTCTAAGTTACTGAACAATGGTGATGTGGGAGATGGTGGGAGTGCACCAATGCTCAACATGATACCTAGTTGCTCAGTCCTGGGGTGTAATGAATACTAACATTTCTTTCTTTTTTTTTTCTTTTTCACTTAGTTGAACTCCTTCTTAATATTTTATGCAAGAATGAAAAACTGAAAATATATATTTTAGCCTAGACTGGAAGCTAGCCATGCCCTGGCTTTGTACACTTTTCTCAAATCTCATTTATAAAAATCTCCCTTCACATCCTGCTTGAGCTGAGTCCCACAAACTATTCTCTGTAAACAGCATATCCTTTCTTACCTTCTGGAAAGTCCCATTACTCTTTTTTTTTTTTTTAATAATTATAATGGAGTGAATGTGTTTTGCATGTGGCAAGGACATGAATTTTTGGATGGGTTAAGGGTAGAATGTTATGGATTGATTGTGTCCCCCAAAACTTATGTGTTGTGCATACTAATCTCAAACCCACCAGCCACTCTGTGGGAGAAAGATGTGGCAGTCTGCTCTGGGAAACAACGATAGCCTTGGAAATCCTATGGGGCATTGGTACTCTGTCCTATAGGATCTCTATGAGTCAGCATCTACGTCTATGGCAATAAGTTTTTGTATGCCTGTGGTTATTATCCTATTAGGGCTGATGAGAGAATGGGTTGTCTTTGTTACATTAATGAGGCAGGATTAGTGCACAGTGTGTCTTGACTCAATCTTTTCTGAGATATAAAAGAGATGAAACTAGCAAGCAAGAAGCAGAGACGAGAAAAGAGCGACGGCAAGCCACATTAACATCGCCCAGGAGCAGAAGCTCAAAGAGACAAGGACCTTGCTCCAGGGTCAACAGGGAGAGCAAGCCTTCCCCTACAGCCAGCACCCTGCATTCAGACTTCCAGCCTCCTAAACTGTGGAAATAAGTTTCTGCATCTAAAAGTGACCCCTTATGCTATTTCTGTTACAGCAGCACTATTCAACTAAGACAATAATATTTTATGATGTTTTCAGTCAAAGAACATACATAGTTGAGGTTCCTATTGGACAGTTTCTAGTCAAGATGTTCAGTCAATACTGGTTCCATCCTTCACAACATGTGAACATCCTCCTGACTCCCATTCTGGTTGCTCCATTTCCATTCATCTAGTTTCCCTACTCCCTTACCTCCTCATCTCTGTTTTGAAGTCATTGTTGACTGTTGTTCCCTTGCTCTGCCCAGATTTGCCTCTAAGCCCCTAACCATTTCTACCACTCCCTGGAAGCCTGGACCACACACCTCTTGCATTTCATTAAGCCCTCCATGATCACCACTGTGGGTCATAATGTGTTCCTGGTTTCAGTTTCCAAGGCATTTCTCAAGCTGTTGTTGGGATGCTGTTGAGTTGATTGTGACTCAGTGACCCCGTCTGTTCCAGGGTAGAACTACCCCTATAAGGTGTGCTTGGCCGTGATCTTTATGGAAGCATCCCTCCAGATCTTTCTCTTGAGAAGAGGCTGGGTGGCTTTGCAAAGCAGAGTTCTGCTCAGAAGCACATGGTGTTGCTGTAAGTTGACACTGACTACATGGCAACTCATTTTTTTCTGGTAGATTTTGTGCATTTACGATGTCACAGGCTGATAAAGAGGCTGTGGGACCTTTTCATTGTTTGTTTATTTCTTTTCCTCTTGATGTTGGAATTGTAACAACTCAGTAGGGGATACTGTCAAATTAATTAGAAGCTCTCATGGAGACAATGAGTCATTAATTCTTAAGTGGGAAAACAGGTTCTTACTTGTGAAGCCAGTTTGATCAGGTGGACATGTCATTCCCAAGTATCTTAAAACGTTTGCAGAGTAAATATACCAAGAACTACCACCATACAGTGGATTAATTGCCAAGATTTCTAAAATTTGGCCAGAATTACAGTCAAAATACCCATATGAGCCTACTTTCACCTCCCAATTTCTCTTCACGCAAGAGCCTTTTGACAACAATGAAATGCATCCATATCAAAAATCTAAGGATAATCACGATGCAAGCACATTTCCTTACAAAAAGAAAAA